AGGGGTCGCTTCATCGGATCTCTAGAATGATCAGGTCAACCGGTGTTCCGGTATTGTCTTTTCCTTCCTTCATTGTGCCTAGTGTTGTGAAAATCTGGCTGACGCATGCCTCATTTGTTTCCGCTTTGCCAGTTCAATCCTTCTCCCGAATTCCTATATCCTAACTTTGACTATGGCTCGACATCTAAATTGATTATCGATATTTTCCAATTACCTGGATATCAAGCTTCCCTCGAATTTATAGTCACAATTTCAGTTTATGAGGTTACTACATCCTCTCCTGTTTTCATAAATTGTCAATGGGGCTTTTCCACCTTAGGCTAATGAGATTTGCCTTAGGTTAATTCGTGTGTTATTCATTGAATTTTTATTAGTGATGGAAGGCAGGTAATCTGACGATCGATGCTGTCGATGTTTAATGTTCAAAGGATAACAAAGAGCTGGGTCAAGCTAAGGGCTAGAGAGGGGGAGAGAGAGGGGGTTAGAGAATTGCGCAGCTGCATCAGAATTCGTGTAATTACCTTGTGATTACACGGGCAAAATGTCGAGTGACTGCAGGAGAGGTGAGCGAAATCGATAATCGATAGCCCTCAACCACACCTGAAACATCACCCTGGATAGGTTTTATGAGAAGTTCTTCTCAATCAACACCAAATTCATCCTCATGTATTTATATGAATTCCAAGTCCAGCTATCTCGAGTAATGATTTTCAATAATGTTATTATTATATCTGGATTAATCAGTAGAAAATATATCATAAATAGTTTTCCTTATTTAAATATTTTTCTCAAAATCAACAAATATGGAACAAAAACTACCACACAAGATTTAAAACTATTATATATTTTATTTTGAGGAGGTTAAGTAAAGAAACAATGATGATCTAGTCTACTTGAATTGAATTAAAGCAATAAAATTTCTAGCAATTTCTGTCGTCAGATGACATTAAATAGCTAGTTCGAAAAGGAATAAAAAATATGTTTCAATTCGCATGGATTAATTAAGTGGGTTACTAAGCCATCTCAATGGCGAGGGTTTCACATAAGCGTGGTGTGCGTTTTAATTCTATTAAAAATAAGCCCAAATGACTGAGTGGTTTATGCGTCGCATATAAAATTGCACAAGTTGCGCATAGAGTATAGAGAGGGAGCTTGAAACTGCACAAAACACATCTACTACTACTTCTTCTTCTTCAAGATGCTGAATGCTGTTTCTAGACCGAATGCCGACCCAAGGGCGTGTGCAAACAAACCACGATTCATTCGATGTGAGCTTGAGGACAAGGATCAATCCTATTTCCTCAAGATAGTCTATGAGGCTTGCCAATGCTACATCGATCCTGTTGACCTCTGCACTGCCATTAAGCAATGTTTGGACAAAAAATTTGGTCCTATGTGGCACGTTGTTGTTGGTCCCGAATTCGGAAGGTAAGATGCACTCAATTAAATAAATGAAATTCATTTTTTTCATTGTATCCATCTTACCTACTCACAGATAAGGTTGAATATAACTTGGCAAAGAGAATCCCTTCTAGATATTTCAATGACGATTTAATAATTGTGATAGTATTAAATTAGAGATATATCACTTTATGAGAGTATTGTAATACGACACTCGTATTTTAATTAACTTAGCTAATTCACTTAAGACGAACGTGGTTTAGTCATGAGTTGGCAACAGATGCAAGATCTCAAGATTCATGGAATACGGGTGTGCCAATCAATAGTAATTAACCAATCAAGGCGAGGCACTAGGCACACATTTAATGAGTTGAATAAGGAATTGTCATAGGTATAGTGTTGCAAAGCTATGTATCGGCAAACTCTAAGTGCAGCGAGTGCTCGGGACTCCGGGGATACCAAGCCACGCTTTCTTCGAAAGTCACTGGAACCCGAGGATGAAACAAACTTTCTCTATCTCGTTCGAACAACCTACACAAATTACGAAGATCCAGAAGATATGTGCACTGCTTTGAAAAGGCAGTTGGATGAAGAATATGGCCCCACTTGGCACGTTGTTGTGGGTGATTACTTTGGAAGGTAGGCAACTTCTTATTTCTCACACAGAAAGTCCTCCCATTCAAGTGAATTAAGAGTAAATATCAAACGAACAATTCGATCAACCTCATAATAATTTACAAGTGGTCTGGAAAAGAATTTTTCGTTATGCAGTTTAAATTAATAATAAATAATGAACTTACCTGCCAATTGTGCGACCTCAATCATTCCCAGTCAGACGAAATGAAATCGATCCTCGTTAAATACTTCAATAATAATAATAATAATTGAAATTCATTAAGGGGTCGGCTATATGGCGTAACTTTCTTGGGAAATCACATTTTCTATTTTGATTTTTTATTTCACTTTTCAGTCATTTTGAACACGAACCCAAGAGATTCTGCTACATCACGTACATGGGCCTCTCATTCCTCATGTTCAAATTTGGTTAATTTTGACATTTGTGAGGATGTAAATTATCTCCGCTAGAAACAAAGATCTTGGAGCACGCCCATCCTTCACTTGGTTCTTAACCCTTTGTTATAATAATATATCTCTTGCTAAAACAATAATTTGTTTTATACTATGTATTCTTCCACAAGTGTGTATTTAATCTACCAAGTCACCTATATGATTATGGAGAATAGATTTATTCTAGGACATGGAGAAGATGAGTCCCCCTTATTTAATTAGGCTACTTCATCTTTCAGGAAATCAGATTTTGCTCATTTTCGCTTTATTAGAACCAAAAATGAAGCTCATATTTTTGAAAGATAAAGTTTAGAGATGAATAAATTATGATGCATACCATCAGTAGTTTATTTATATCATGTTACAGGCTTTATGATAGTTATTATTAGCCCTTTAGTTGACTTCGGGCTTCACAAAGGGGGAGGAACAGACAAAGTCACAAAAAGACGAGGAAGGGGGGGGGGGAGAACAGAAGAGTGTTTCAAAGACGTAAGAGAGACAGACACAAAGGTAGAGAACAAGGTAAGGTGAGTACTGTGAAATTGATGGAATATGACATACAGTCAGGACATGGTCGTTTGAAGTGAGAAGTCAATTGTCGGTTTAGTTCTCGCTTTCGCCCTATGAGAATACGTTGCCCAGGCTGAACAACGTGGATGTAGGTCTATCGCGCATCCCGCATCACCAATAGTGATTTTAGTCTATCGTGTTGGAAAGCAATACGTTGGAAAGTATTAGCGAAAAAAAGGAATTAGACTGAATCTCACGTAGTGGTTTTGGGAGAAGCTTTTGAGAAAATCTAAGACCGATTGACTCTCCATTGCACATTTGCTTAACTCTCAACCCAAATATGCCCATCGCGACGGGGAAGGTCACATTAGTGTGCTTTGTTGGCAAAAGATTGCGGAGGGGGGAGGGTGGGGTGGGGGGTGGGCATGACTCGAGAATCTGTTTACCACCGATTGGAACCAGTTAGCTTATGCCACATAAAGTGTAAGGCCTCTCTACCATTTTACTGCCAAGCTTCACATTAGACCTTTATAAATCACGATGTTTTGCAACTAGGCACGGAGGGAGGGAGAGAGACAAGATCCTATTTAGGCATACCAAATCACGAGGAACTTCTAATTTAAAAAATAATTTTACCCCACTGAGTTCATTTCGAGATATATGTATTTTTTTGTGCGGATAGTGGCCCAAGAATCGGCATCTCTTAATTTGACAAACGGATGGGTACAGTTGACAGAAGGTCTAAGAATTAATACGCTTTGAAGAGATCCTAATACTGCCACGAGGAACCTCAAGGCACCATGGAATTTTATTTCATGCAATTTTTGCAGTTTATTTCCCGGAATTCCAATATCGTGATTCCCCGCCAATTGGATTCCAGAAAACGCTTCTCCACGGCGGGCGATGCTAATTGGGCCTTCTCAATTAGAAGGATCAAACTCGCTTCTAATGGTTGGGATGATATTAAAATAATCATTTATTTATATCAAATGGCAGGCGTCTTGATGGTTATCATTAGCCCTTTATTTGACTTCAGACTTCACAGAGGGGAAGGAACATCAAACTGAAAAAAATTCGAGAGGGGGGGGGGGAAAGAAGAGTGTTCCAAAGATGTAAGAGACAAACACAAAGGTAGAAAAAAGGTGAGGTGAGTACTGTGGAAGTGGTCGAATATGACATACAGTGGGGTCATGGTTGTTTGAAGTCAGAAGTCAACTGCCAGTTAATAGACTTTTTTGCCGTATGAATATACATTGCCCAGGGCGCACTACGTGGAGGTAAGTCTATCGCACACCCCTTAAAATAACCATCAACTTATAATTCT